GTGTGTGTGTGTGTACCTTGTGCAGCCACAGAGGTAGAGTGTGTGTGTGCACAGTTGCCCAGCAGTACGAGTCCACATACACAGCCTGCCTCCAGGAGAAGTTAGAGGGGGCGAAGCAGCTGATCTGGGTACCTGAGCACAACGGAGACAGACAACAACACAAACGGATTGAACCAGTGATTTGACTGAAATGAGGAAATGAGGCAGAGTTTTTTCAGGAATGTTAGTTCAACATTTTAATCTGCAGACTGTCAAAGTTAATGAATCAGGCTGTTCATTGGTTTGACACTTCAGGATGTCAGGATTTTAAGATGTAACCTTAAGATGAACCTTTTACATTCCACAACTAAACTCCTTCTGGTAAGAAATGAACAAATATAGAAGTTAAACCAAAGTTGTGTTATTTAATGAAGAGTGAAAACACTTGACAGTGTTAATCTATTCCAGCTGGAAGGATGGGTGTTTGCAGCAGCTATAGCCTCTGACCCAGGTCACACAGAGAAACAGAAAGACAGAGAAACAGGAACACAGGGGACAGGCAACTAAGCCGTTTACATTTCAGCCTACCGAAATGCGAAACAAAGGGAAATAAGATATGATAATTATAGCAGGTGACATCCGTAGGATAATTTGCCTGACAATGGTCACAGTGGAACCCTACTGTCTGTCGAATGCTAGAGAACAGGCGGTAGCAAGATATGTGTATTAAGAGTGTGAAAAGTCTCGGGACACAGCCAAGGCCAAAACATGTTTACAAAGACTAACCCGACTCAGACAGTAGTAATCTAGCCAGAACAGACTGTGGTCCACTCACCCACGGAGACCTCCTGAGCGAAGGCCAGAGAGATGAGCAGGAGGGGCAGGCCCACGGCCACACAGGTCACCATCTTGTCCACCGCCAGCTCCGTGCGGACGCTGCGGTATTGAGCCTGGGTCGGGTCCTTCAGCAGGAAATCGCTGAACACGTACTCTGTAGCCACGTGTGCGATGGCCATCTCAGCGCTGCTCTGTCACCTGCAGCACACACTAACAGCTGAGCACACACACCAAGAAGCACCTGGGGCCTGTACTACGAAGCTGGTTCAACCTAACCTGGATATGTTTGAGTTAGCCGGTTGGCCTAATCCAAAACATACGCGCTCTCGCTAAACGGTACTACGACACGGGTTATCAAGTGGATCGCTCAAGCCAGCCGTGCCCTATCTAGTTAGGTGTGGGTTCACATGAAAGGGGTGGTATTTGGAGCATTCGACCAATCACAAACATGGAGAAGCGTACTGACAGCGCAGAGGCGTCATACATCCTGAATGAAAAGTCAACTATAATATTACGTAGACATATGAAGAAGTTAAACTTTAAACATCCATGACTCAAACACTGTATCCAGGATCAAAGCCACATCGCTGCACCTGCAAGGTGAATATAGCGGGTAAAAGAAAAAGTGTTTGAATGCGTACATTAACAGGTTTATGATATCACTGCCCCGTCTAAGACACGATCTGACTTTAATTACATTCGTCAACTTAATGTGTTGCTTAAAATAATACTTCTGCATACAGTATGTGACACTGTGAGTGTTGCGCGGCCAGATACGGCTCAGCTGACTCAGATAAGAAAATATATGATACATTATGATGTGATATGATGTGATATGAATGATAATGGGACACATTGACGTCTGCACTCAGTGTACTTATGTTGTGGCAGATATTTAAGTAAGCTTTCTGATGGGTGGTGATATTCTATTCATTTTCACGTTCACACAGTCGGTGATTTTTGCCGGCCGTCTTTCCTGCAACGGCAGTATTTCTCTATTTCCTTTCTCCTGTAATATGACTTGATCGCTTTAAACTCCGCACACGGAGCTCTGATTGGTCAGCAGGCAGTGCTTTCACTGAGTTGATCTCTTAGCCTGCAACCTAACCTGCTCCGGGGCAGGTTAGCCGCTCAGCATAAGTTACCATGGAGATCTAGCCTGCTAAAAAGAGAACTAGCTTCGTAGGACGGGAAAGCCGGAGTTTTCCCTGAAGTTAGCCGGCTAAGCGAAAATCCTGCTTCGTAGTATACCCCCCTGATGTCTACATTCATTCTGTGTAGGATATCAACATGTTCCTTCTTCACCAGAGCACATTTTCCTTTGAATGCAAAGCAGGCCTCCAGTAAACAGTTCACCTGCTCAGCACAGAGTTCTAATCACCCGGGCTCTTACCCAATGTTCTGTCACTGCTTGTTAAAGCAACTCTAACATCCCTAATGAATAAGACATTCATTTGAATACTGGTGTTTGGTTTAAAAACTTTATGAAATACAAAAATACATTTTTATAAATGTCCCAACATTTCATTTTTAGAAGATTACGTTAATATGTTATTTATGTCACTTCGTTGTTTTTTTTAATTGTTACTACACATTGCTCTTGCTCTAGCCATGGTTGTGTTCCCATTTGTCTTTATTTTTATTAAAGTGTGCTTTTCTTCTTTTTTATTATTGCATGCCTTTTTTTATCTGCTATTCCACTTGTTGCTGTAACACTGTTCACCTCCCCGCTGTGGGACTGATACAGGAATTCTGATTCTGAAATAAACACCTTAATTAAATTAAAGTAAAAGAAGAAAAAGTTCTACAAATGCTTTGTAATCTTGAAATGAAAAAGGAATGTAACAAAGTCCATAATTGGCAATCCTTTTCTCTTCTGAGCAGCAGTAACAATTGCTCTTTTACAATCTACTAATGCATTATCATAGAGGAACGTGTATATTGTTTTTAGTTGACATAAACCTTTCCATTTCACATCATTAATCCAGATCTGTAAATTAACTAAAAAGGTATTAAATAAATGTAGTGGAGTAAAAGTAAAAGATTTACCTCTGAATAATAAAGTAAAAGAACAACGTAGCAACACATGTAAATAGTCACGTAAAGTACAAATCCCTCAAAATTGTACTTTAGCAGTGTTCTTGAGTAAATGTACTTAGTTACTTTCCACCACGGAATCATTGTTGTTGAAGGCAGTCTGACGTTGAGCAGAGACTTCATCCCCGGTAGTTAGCTGACCTCACTTCACCTCCACACCGCCTCTCTTCAGAGCACAACACACTCCCGCTAATAACGAATACTGACGTTCGCTTATATTTCATATTAAACGAAATACTGAACTTGAACTTAACGAACGTTACCGACCTTCTCCCGCTCAGCGTGTGTGTTAAAGTGTCAAGGCTGTCAGAGGCAGCTCAGATAACTTGTGGCTGATTCCAGCAGTCCTCCGCGGCTCCACATCCAGCAGCTCTACTGAAAGTGTTTCCTGTACCGCCGAGCTCCTTCCGTCCCATGAAAAACAGATGCGTTCAAGTGCATATGCACAGCTCTGATTTCACAGTTGCAATGCCGCCTTCGTATGGATCTCGGAAGTTTGTGATGTGGGGAGTCACATTTTGAGATTGTGTTTATCAAAAGGTGGAATAAATACTCCATTATTTTCAAAAGTAAAAGTAGCTACTGTGTAAAAATACTCAGTAGCAAGTAAAGGTCGTTTTATTACAATTATTGGTGCATTTATTTGTTCATCTCTTCCCTCTGAACTCGGTAAAAGTGGGTTTTATTTGAAATATTTCAAACACTTCCGTGTAGCTTAATCTATGATCGTATATAATAATGTGTGGAGATGTAACTTGTTATTAATAACCGAAATCTGCAAAGTAACTTGTAACTAAATATGTAAAACAAATGTAGTGGAGTAAAAAGTATACAACATTTGCCAACAAAATGTAGTGGAGTAAAATATAAAGTAGCTTAATGTGAAAATACTCAAATAAAGAACACGTACCCCATTTGTTTTACTTAAGTATTTACTTAAGTATTTGTTTTACTTCAGTACAGTAGCCTACTTACAGTAAATGCAGATTTACAGATAGCAAAATATGAGTGAATCAATGTTGAAATATGGTTAGGCAGAAATATTGAATCCATGTTGAAACCCGGACATTGAAATTAAACAGAAAGCGGAAATTGTTTTAATGTTGAATAAACGTTGGACTTTCAACCATAACTGACACTATATCAATGTTGATTCAACCATCATCTAAATAGGAATCTACATGCACATTTTTGGTTGATTTTACATTGAATCAATGTTAGGAATCAACATTGATTCAACCATCATCCAAATGGGAATCTACATGTAAATTGTAGTTGATTTCATATTGAATCAGTGTTAGGAATCAATATTGATTTAACCATCATCCAAATGGGAATCTACATATACATTTTAGTTGATTTTATATTGAATCAGTGTTAGGAATCAATATTGATTCAACCATCATCTAAATGGGAATCTAATGTAAAACTTACATTAAAATATTCAACTTTTCTAAGCATACTGTAACACATTAAAAAAGTGAATGTTTTGCACCAATGAGTTTTCTGCGGTCTACATCTTAACAGACCATTAACAAGTGCAACATCATACTGTACTGAATGAAGTGTCCAACTAAATGTAAAACTTACATT